ATTTCCCATTCATTCTTTTCAGCTAACTTCGACGCCTGATCAGCTTACGACTGAGTCACACCGAATTGCAGTTAGCTGATCGTATGATCTAAAATAAACACCATCAAATTCATAGATCTAAAACTACTCCAATCGAATCTGAATACTCACACCTGCAATAATAGTAAACAATTACGTTCACAAGCCGACCGCATACTGCATGCACATTGCACGACATTATTTATGAATACGGAAATGAGAGTATGATAAATATGATATACAATGCAAATGTCATGTGCAACGCATTCAGAGGGCGTACTCGTCTGTCAACACTGGATTGCCAATGTTAAGGGAATCAATCGCGCGATCTTCATTCCACCGACAAAGGCTAATTGATAAAATGCGCACTCAATGAGTTATTATCGTGAGAAAATTGAATGGCAGAAGTGAAATCGCACTTTTAAATGAAAGATCGTGTTGAATCTGACGGAAATGGACTAACGTTCGGAAAAAGTTGGGATACGTTTAAAAAAGAATGTTTACTAGTCAAATGCGAGCTGCATTCTTCCAACGCGCCTTTCTTAGCTGCGGCGAGAATTTGGTAACTGTTTTATGTTACTCTCGTTTGTAATTATTTAGCATGTTTCCGAACACAATATTTTCGATCAATCTCAGTTTGGAACAATTCTCCGAATGCTCGCTTTCAAGAAAGGGACTGAGCGTGAGTTGAGTACACGAATGAGTTGTTTTTCATGAAAGGAAAAGAAATATGATTCATACCTGCATTATTTGAATTATATGCAGCATCTGGAGGGGCATTCGGATTGTAGTGCGGTGGTCCAGCATTCGGATAGCCAGCTGGAGCAAATCCTTGACCGAATCCTGGATGATATCCACCAGCACCCGTATTTTGACCTGGATGGGAAGGCTGATTATTTGGTAATGCGCTGGGATATGGGAATTGAGGCTGGTGAGTGGGATAAGGTGGTTGAGAATTTTGACTGGAATATGGTTTGGATGATTTGTCAGAATATGGTGGCCGATTTGGTATATTGAAACCTATTTGCGGAGCACTTTGTCCACCGGGATGATCGTTTTGCGGTGGGTAGCCACTTTGTCCCGAGTAACCAGTTTGGTTGGGATAACCGCCGCCTTGACCGGGATAACCGCCGGCTTGGCTGGGATATCCGCCGCCTTGACCGGGATATCCGCCGGCTTGACCGGGATATCCACCGCCTTGACCGGGATATCCGCTGCCTTGACCAGGATGACCGCCGGCTTGGCCGGGATATCCGCCGGCTTGACCGGGATACCCGCCGCCTTGACCGGGATAACCGCCAGCTTGACCAGGATATCCGCCGGCTTGACCGGGATATCCGCCGGCTTGGCCGGGATATCCGCCGCCTTGACCGGGATAAGCGCCGCTCTGACCGGGATAACCGCTGGCTTGACCGGGATAGCCAGACTGTCCACCATGCTGGCCTGAATAACCACCTTGTTGAGGGTTATATCCACCTCCTGGATTGTTCATTGGTGATGGATAATAGCCACCACCTTGCGACTGTTGACCGTAACCGTCGCCTGAAACTAACGTTTATAACTGAAGAATTCATACAAGAATATTTAGGAATTTGCGGTTGAAGGCACAAGTAGATGTAAGTCAAAAACAGTTATAATTCATCGAAATTTTCGTCATACTCCAGTACGAATACGGCTTCCATCGCATCCGTTCGAAATCAATAAACTAGTGCTGGGAGTGGGTGACGTATCATATGCTCCCGTTATGTTTTGGACATCGAAAACCGCATTTTTTCGATACTTTTTTCGACGCATTCGCCCTTACTGGAAGCGAGTATTTCTATTCGACCGTTTAGCAAGACGAACAACTGAACAGTCATCAATTTAGCATTCATAAACTTGATACTCAAAAGTTTCCAGAATAGTCACTAGCATTTCGAACCATCATGCTCTCAACACTGGAATGTGATAAGCTTGGAGAGGGGAAGGCACCCATTTCACTTATCATTTCATGTCTGAGAACAATACAATGGCTCTTTGGAATACGCCACACTCAACACACATCCACTATGCATTATAAATTCGCTCGCAAAATTACTTCTTCATAATGAACGCATTATACATCGATCAAGTGAATGAAGAGCAATTTTTCGTTCCATCAAAAAGGACTTGGAAAAATTTACGAATGTATCGAAAGATCGTTCTGAAAGTGCACCATTCATACTGTTGTTAGCGTGAATCACACGGCGCATTTAGCTCTTGGCTTCGGACAGAAGTGAGAATCGTGAATCTTAAATGAACAAAAAAATTTACCGCTGTTTGAGGCGCTCGGTTGATTGCTTTCTCGCTGACTCTGACCCATACTACCAATACCCTGAAAATTTAAGATTTTCCAAACTGAGAACGGAAATAATCTGCTTAAAATGACCATCTCTGAATGATCATCGCTACTGACTCGCTACGTAGAATAAATATTCACTCCGGCTAATCCAGTGGTTCTCATGCTCGGGTGCTTCATTACTCCGTCTACGGTCGGGCAGGCCCTAATTACCCTCCACCCCGTTCTCCTGCGAGAACCTACTATTTCCATATATAACGTCTCATTCATAGATACGTGAAATACTTTTCAATGTGCAATCCCAAAACACACTGACCACATGTTACACATTCGTCACAAGCCAGGCGATATCTATGGCACGATTGAGCAACTACATTGCTCAGTTACTATTGAGCAGTTACTAATTGTAAGCAAAAATTCCATTATGTGCACTAATTAGGAAACTCAAAAAAACTTTTCAGTGCAACCGAGTAATCGTAATCGATCACTTCAAAAAACTCGCTCGTCTCGCATCAAACCAGAGACCTTTTCTGCCGTACCGAACAAATTCCATTATGTGCAGTAATTGGGCAGTAAATGTGCTCATAAGAGACCAAGTCAGCCAATGTATTAAAAACTTACGAAGAAGTTGTAACTACTTCAAACTAGTAAGTTGTAGGGACGAAAAAAGTCGAAGACGGGGAAAGTCGGAGATGAAATATTGCAATCAAGGATCCCGAAAATACGGTTGGCTCAAAAACGGCGGGACAGGGTCCCCGAAAATCCCCGACCCCCTCAACACACTGCTACAAACTGATTTTTGTTCAGGCCTAGGCGAGCTGAAAATTCTCAGAAGAAAAGAGTAAAAAAGAGTGTTGTCAATCGCGAGATGCGATTAGATACCCGAATGAAACAATCGCCACAACAACGGTATTTCATTATAACTTCACCAGATATTAGATTCTTTCAATCAATCCCCATTGCTCATGAAAGGCGATGTCAGCCAATACATTAAACAGCTTACGAAATACCTGTGACTACTTTAAACTAACTTTTGTTCAGGCCTAGACGAGCTCATGAAAATAGGAGAAAAAACAGTATTGCCATGATCAAAACAAGTGAAAAAACACCATCACAATGGGTTCGACCATAAAATATCAGCTGTACGAAATATTAATTTGCCAACCCTCTCCGTCAACCCCTGACATCCCAGGATTACTCCCAAGGGAGTAATTTCCCCTCCCATGACAGCCCCCAGGATAACTGAAACAGACAATTTCAACCATTTATGTTCATATGATCTTTTTGATGCTGGCAAAGTAATCCAGTAGGAAGTGTACCTCTTGAACAGAAAATCAACAACAGTTCTTTGTTAGAGTCAAATGAGAATATTGATGGACATGCTGAGTTTTCATTGAACATATTTTCACAGAAACGAATGAACAACGTTGAACACAACTTACTTTTGTCACCTCGCTAAGAATCGTAGAAAAAAGCTGCGATTTAGAAGGCATCCTTTACCCTTCCTCGATAATGGTATCTCGTGATGATCACAACGAATAAACCGATAGACTGATTAGAAAGAAAGGATATGATGAGTAGCTTATATATTGTTTATGAATTGTGCGATGTTTTCGAATTGATACAGGTAGAAGTGACTTGATTATGAATCATCAAAAAATGGCGCAATGAATCATAAGGAACGTTCGTTTAATCGATTGATCTGAAAGAGCGTGGAATTGCGATAACTGAAAGTCGATGGGAGGAACGAGATGATTTGAAAGGAACAGCTGAAGGATAGATAGATAGATAGCTTTATTGATGTGAAGCAGGCAGACGACACCGAATGGAGGTGGAGNATTGATCTGAAAGAGCGTGGAATTGTGATAACTGAAAGTCGATGAGAGGAACGAGATGATTTGAAAGGAACAGCTGAAGGATAGATAGATAGATAGCTTTATTGATGTGAAGCAGGCAGACGACACCGAATGGAGGTGGAGAGCGCTGTTGGCATGTGTTTATTTTGTGTTTGTGTTTGTGTAGTTTGCGTTGAGGAGATGTTATCAGCTGGTTTTTGAACATGTGCATGGCGAGAGTATTGTCTAGAGCGAAATACCCCTACGTCCGACAACCAAACCGCGCATTCTCACTTCGTCAGTCACTCATTCCACAACGAATATTTTCATCGTCTTTCAACGCCGATTTCCTGTTCTCGAAATGCTACGTGCATGTAATCGATTGCGTACAATACAAATCAATCAGCAAACAGAAATGAGTATGTATAGTTCGATGTTGGTTAATACTCATTATAACCACTCAACTGCATCACACAAACACGTTCGTTTGTAGTCATCTGCAAGGTCACTTTACGCAAATATTCGATGTACGAAACACAAAAATGCATCATGAGTAAATTGTACAGTCACATCAACGACCTACTGCATTCATCATCTCACTGCAACTTGTGATGAATTTTGAAGAAAGTTGAATGTGACGGTTGCATTGTTGACTTGATGTTATCTCATTAACGGAACACCAGTTAAAAGTGATCTTCGACATTTCTCTTCTAAGAAAGAATGAGGAGAAATCACCTCCTTAAAGCAAGCAAGCACTTGGAATTGAGAACTAACAGATTTATTTCCATGGTCGCGGAATTTTGAAAATCGATAGCCACGGATAAGGTAACTCTTGAGCGTCGATCGGCTTCGTTAGGTGACCACAGACACAGTGATAAACATTCGACAAAAGCGAAAAGCACTCGTTGATCGGTAGCCATCGATCAAAATTCGTAGGCTACTGAGTTTCGGTGGCAACATCCAACTCTACAGCAAATAAGACGTCGTTTGCGATACGAATACCTGTCACTGCAACTTCTGATGCTATTACTGTTGTTCATTGCAGGCGAATTAACTGTAATTCGGACCGTGCTCAAAACTTTCGATGACATGAATCAGTTCTTTGAAAATCTGCGTCTAAATTGCTTCCCTATCGACGACCATGTGAAAATACTGTCGAACGATTGATCGATTAATCCTTACTTCCTAATGATTTCGTAATATTCCCTCACTAGTTGATGAAAAGCGATTGGCAATAGCGCGTTATCGCTAGCTAGCGAAATAGCGAGAAGCTTATTTCGGTACGTAGTGAAACGAAACGTAGCCATAGCGTGCTACTGCCCACCTCTGCTTATAAGATGTGCCTTTCAGAAAGCCCATCAACATAAAAACGTCGACAACTCAATCTATCAATTGACTGACTAATTATATGACCCACCCTCGTGATGAGCACTTTGTGTTCATTGCTGAGCGGTGTTAATTTCTATTCATTCATCCAAATCCAGGTGATTGTTGAAACATACTAAAACTTACCTTTCTCTGGTATAGAGTAGTGTTCGTTGGGGAATGGGGTCCCCATCGGTGACCCCAACGGGAACGCGGGAAGCGTTCCCCCCGCGCAATTTGCTCCCCGACTTTTTCTCGGAGAGGACGGGGAGCGTGAACCTTCGCAAATATCGCGAACAATCAACTGNATTGTCTTGTTGTTTGTTCTGAAATGTGAGTATAAGGTGTTTGGCTCAAATTCTGTTTGATTAGAGCGATCTGTTGTTTGAATTCTTGAAGTAGCTGAATTTAGAATGCCTAATATGGTAGGTTTGGTTCAACTGTCATTTAAAAAAGAATCAAATATTGCTGTGGGGGAAATAAACGATGGCAAATTTTTAAAGGATATAATTATAGAGATCGAAAAATTTGTTTAAAACAATGGTTTCTCAAGTTTCCAACCTGTTATTTATTTGAAAATTCATGATTTTGCACTCATATCAACTGAGTTACTAACCAACTGATTTTGAATTATTCCGATATCAGAAGTTTGAATTCATAATCCAAAAAATCATTGTAATTACTAAATTCGTTTACTCATCAAGCAGTTCAGAAATTCTCACTACGTTCTATACTGATGACGTTTTCGATAATTATTGTTGAGGTATTGGATTATTGGGGGCGTGAGTTATTGTGAAAGTGATACGATATTGGAGATAATAAGATAGGATAAAACTGATAAGATAGAGATGTGAATAAAATAAAACTAATTTATTGTGAGGTTTTTGAATGGTAGCAACATGTTATTTAAAGCTGTAGTCGTGAGCGCATTATCACTGTTAAATGATTTCATTTCACTCCCAAAGGTGCACATCTGGAGGGAAATTTCTATTTGAAAAGCTGAAACGGAATTTTCAAAAAAACTACTCAAAAAGAAGAGAAATTTTCAAAAAATTGAAATTCTCTTAAAAAGTTGAGCTGAAATGCCCCTCGTCCTCTCCGTCGAGGAACACGGGAAGCGGTCATTCTCTGACGGGGTCCCCACTCGCGCAATTTGCTCCCCGACTTTTTTGTGGAGAACGCCCCCGTCCAGTTTTCTACCCGCCGGGACCCCCATCCGTCCGAAAAACTGCTTCCTGACGAACAATAGTATAGAGACAAGTTTTCTGATAGGATCTACTGCGAATTTCTTTGTGAATTCTAAGAAAGTGCACTGAGAAAGTGCATTCAATCAACTCGCTTATTAATCGATCGATTCTGAAGTGTTTAGTCACCTTCGGCGCGATATCGCGATATCTTTAAGTAGTTTTTTCGATGAAGACATTGCATCGAAACTTGATTCTAGTTCGATTACTCCCTGCAACATGTTACTTTTCTTTCGAAGAATTCTACAATATAAATGAATTAGTAAACTGATGACTGATTTTATACTGCAAAATGATGAGAACAATTTCTTTGACAATGTACCAAGTACGCATTGCTGAACGAATGAATTTGTGTATGTATTATAGTTGACCATTTACACATCACTAATGAATTCTTTCATTCATTGGATAGTTTCGAGGAGCTAAAAAACTGAAACTAAAGCTGTGAAAGTCGTCCATGATGCAATTCCAATTGATTTTCTGCAAAATAGTACTGAATGAAAGTCAAATTAGGAGCTTTCAATGCCAACCTGATCAAATGAAGAAAAATAGCAGTAAATTCACGACAATAAACTTTCGT